CACCAAGCTCTCTGAAAGCTTATAGCATGCGCTGAGGGAGTGTATTAGCACATATTAATTTGCATTGTTTATCCCAACCTACGGGTTGTACTTCTATGCTTTATGTGTTTCGGAGTGCTCATAAACCATAAATGATATCAGACTAATCTTTGCATCAATGATATCAGCTCTGTCCTAATAATATCTTAAAAATTACTCACAGTAAAATTTGTATGAATGAAACTTAAAGTCCCGTCAGCACTATGATATTCTAAATAATTCATTACTATGTATTAGCCCAAATTTAGCTTTCTTCCATCCATCCATTCGCTTCCGCTTATCCTTTTCAGGGTCACGGGGGGCGCTGGAGCCTATCCCAGCTGTCATAGGGCGAAAGGCGGGGTACAACCTGGACAGGACACCAGTCTGTCGCAGGGCTAACACATGGGGACAGACAACCATTCACATTCACTCGCACATTCACACCTAGTGGCAATTAGAATTATCCAATTAACCTATCCCCACAAGCTGCATGTCTTTGGATGGTGAGAGAACCCACGCAAACACGGGGAGAACATGCAAACTCCACACAGAAAGACCCCGGCCTGATGGTGGAATTGAACTCAGGACCTTCTTGCTGTGCGGCAAGAGTGCTAACCCTAACCACCGTGCCACCGTGCTGCTGAAAACATCATTTCATTAGCTTAATTATTAATTTCTGAATGCTGAAACTTCTTTTTGTATGTAACTAAATAAACACAAATACAAGGTATTGCAAATATTGTGTATACTTAATATGGAAAGCTTCCATTTGTATGAATAATTTCTGGCATTTTATTTCAATTAAAAATTGTATGCCCATAAAGATAGATGAATTTAAAAACCATTGATGATGGATCTCACGATAGGTGGAAAACTAGAAGCACAATACTGGATGTATGCCGACAATGCCGTTTCCTCTCCTTATACTTGCAGCAGCTGCTTAGGGTTTGATCAAACTATGCAAATGTGCAATCAACAGGAATGATGTTCATGATGTGCAGTAAAGTAAATATGCTAGACTGGAAATTCTGTTTGCATGCAGATTATATTGAAATAGCCATTTTTAGAGCCGATGGTACTCCACTACAAATTTGCTTACAGTAAAACAAACATGAAAATGCTTCAGGCAGCCTGTAATGATACATTCGGGATCTCGCTTCCAAGATCGACAAATACAAGCCAAAACTCTGTAACCAATAAAATTCCTGGCTTCCACACTGACCTGAAGAAATTTATGTATAAATGTATGTATCAATTAATTGATTCTGTGGCCATAGTGGCCTTAACTGTACCAACTTTAAGTGACAAAAAAATCCTCCTGCTTCTAAAAAGTTTGAATCAATTGCACGTTAGTGTTCTGTTCAATGATTACTGCATTTGAGTGTTCTCATGTGTTTTTTTTTTAAATTGTATTTCTTTTTAAAATATTGAGCTGGACTAGAAGGTCTAAAATAAACACAGTTACACACTTAATGCAATAAACTTAACAAGACACCACATTTCACTTTTTTCAAAGCACAAGAATTACCATGTTGGACAACTATGTGATATTAATAGTTACAAATAATAAGTAGTAATAAGTGAATAATTGGTGATGTCACTGCTACTGTGCTTAAATGTGTGAAACTCTATGTTTCACACAGTTTGATCTCCTGTTTACATTTTGTCAAACTAGGGTTAGGTTATATACACTTGTGAGTCTAACTAATAACCTCTTACAGGCAGATTTGTGTCCATCCAGCAAAACAATCCATAAGCTGTATTTTTTACATTCTCCACTGGTTATGACAAAGTGTTGGTGCTGAAAGAGGTAAAAGGCCCAATGTTTAAAAAAAGAAAAAAAGAAAAGAAAAGAAAACAGTTTTGATTTTTTTTCTGCTTGTGATCCTTCTCTCTATTTGTTGTGAGACTTCTCTGGACATAGTGAGAACGTGAGAATAAAGGTTAACGTGCATGTCACACACCAGAAGGTCGACGGTTAGCAACCCCGCTGATAAAAATCCAGAGGGATAACATTTCACTGAGCTCTCACGAACTGCCAACTTTTTCTTGGACCGGCCTTGTTCTCCTTTCTTTCTTTAAATTGTCACACCTAAAGCATGCAATCAGCTGTGATCTTATTGCTCAGTAGTTTGGTTTGCAGTGATTGGTCTGAACTCATGAGCGCAGCCACAAGCTGTAAAAATGATATGTCCATTGCTGGTGCTATGTTAATTTCACAAGAACTGAGGTATTTATATCTTGTAATGTAGAGATGTAAATCCTTTTTAGAGAAGAGAAATGATACACTGATCTTTTTGTTGCTCACTGGAGATAAAAAATAAATAAATAAATAAATAAATAATTTGACACAGTTATGACTAAAAACATTTATGGGATAAACATAGATCATTTTTGGTTATGACAGAATTACCAAACAGAAAATATTTTTGAAAAGATGTGTTTTATTTACTTTGGCCTTTAAACAGAGTGAAACACATCTTTCAAGGTCACGTTTGCTTTTTTAACCTTAGGTCAGGTGGATCTAGTTTTTCAGAGGGGGACAAACTTTAATTTGCGATGTTCCTATGAGTCCACAAACATCCACACGTTCTCAAATACACACAGACGAACGCACTCACACAGACACACATGGTAGCAGGTCTCTTGGGAGAAGGGGAACTGCAGACATAGCGGTGCCTCGGTCACTGTAGTCACCAGGGTGCCAGGGGACATATCGATCTATCAAAGACAATGTTTTCACATAGTCACACCCTGTATGCAGTATATCCCTGACACGATTAACATATCTGAGAAAATATTCTTCCTGTCCCAAAACAGACTCTTTCTTTCCAGAGTTTTCCTTCCATGCTACTTTCTTTTCCCTCTGACTCAACATGGTGGGTCTCTATGGGAAAATGGCGTTCTTATCTAGCTCTTAAGGATCAAAGTCTGTAAAGCTTGATTGTGGATATTACCATGGAAGGACTTATTTGAGTGGCTTGGCACATAAGTTGGCACAATATTAATCTTGCAGACCCGTGTATGCGTGCATCCCAGTGCCTCAATTTCAGTAGATGTCTAAAACCCTGAAATAAGACGCATCTGCCGGGTTAGCCCGGATTCTGATATGGCATTCGTCCAGGACCCTCTACAGAGCAGAAAAGGCCACAGTGTAGATGTTCTGTCTGCGTGGGGAGTTTAACCTCTAACCCTGAAAATGAATATTCCTTAGGGTGTGGAGAAATTTTATCAAGCTTCAAAGCTAGTCACCATTTTTTTTTTATCGTTCTTAGTATACCTATAGAAACTGTAGTATGTGACATTATTGAAAGTGGCTCATTTTACTGTTTTGCATGATGTAAAAAACTGTTCATAAAATAGTAAATACTTAAAATAGTAAATCAGTGCCCAGTGTTCTCTACTCAGCATGAAAGGCGTAATCATATCTCCAGTGCAAAATCCTTTTCTATGAAACTGCATTCCTAACTATGATGACTACTCTTAAGGCTTTCAATCTTCATTCTGCAAACGAACATATTTTATTCTTGAAAGAAACATGAAAAATGCTCTCCACTCCAGCTTAGTGCCAAATATCGAGACGTTTTTATGGCTCTATATATTTCTTCTATCCTCCTCCCTTGGATTTCTGGAATAGAATTAGGTGGTCTGTATAATGTATGATTACTTGGAGCACTAGGCAGACACACTGTTTAAAAAGGAAAGTGGAAAGATTTTAATTGTATCCCGATGTCCGTCCTGTCCATCATTCCAGATCACGTTTTGATAGTTTTCCCATACTAAAATAGACTTAACTGCAGTTAAGCCTTCGAGCCTGACGTATCCTTTACGTGTGCACTTTAATGTGTATAAAGGAAATGCACATGAGGACATTACGTGCAACATGTAAATCATTTATTTCCATACAAATGTTACATCACATATATACATTTTTTTGTAATAAATATCACAAGACACCACATATTGTAACAGCCTCCGATACCTTAACAAACAGTGACAAAAACTTGTGCGAAGTTAGCTTGCAAACATTTAGTAAACATTTAGTTAGCTGAGTGACAGCTTATTCACCCCGGCCACGAGAGGAAAAAAAAAAGAAAAAAAGTATTTCACATACTTTTTTATATGACGGCTTAAGCAATATTTAACATTTGTAAAAATTCACATTTACACATGTCAGTTTCACTGAATGCTTCACACTGAACAGCATCTGTGCTGAGATGCTACAGTCTTTATTTTGAGCTGCGAACAGGAAGAAGAACTTCCATGAAAATATTATGGTACAATTGAATAGGCAAAACTGTTTAAAGTTCATGAACTCCAATGTCTATTTGGTTATTCGAAATCTCTAAAAATTCTTCTTGAAAGTAAATGAAAGTCCTATACAGTGCTGCTTTTAGGATGGTGAATAGTTTAATTAAAATCATGACTAAGTTGTTCTCATGAGCAAACTTTTATTCAATCTGAACAACTGTGGTTCTGTTAGAAAAGCACTGGTTTTACCCCATCAAGACTTGTATCATATTTAACTCCAAGATATTGATTGCCGTACAAAAAAATATATGTGTGAAATGTGCATGTCACTTTGTAACATAACCTCTAAGACTTCTCTGTAACCCTGAATCTGTTTTAAAAAAAAAAAATTTTTCTGTGTGTACCCACACTAAATTCGCTTATCTGCTGCAAGACCGTGGTGGGAGAACTAAATGTGGACTGCAAGCATCCGTAGGCAAGGTATGTGGTTAGAAACCATCAGCTGTGCTTTGCTTGGAATGTTATACTGTCAGCTATTCATTCAGGACTCATTGCACATAACAGTGTGGCGTCCTCCAGCAACAACGGGAGGTGAAGTCATGCATCCCTTATTATACAGCCTTATTGATGAAACAGTAACCATGAGTAACTCTGAGACAGCTGAGGTGCAAGGAGAGGCCACTGCCAGGAGAGAGCAGTGTGGATATATAGTTCACAATCTACAGCACTTGGGCTCAAACTGATCACTTTTAAAGGAAATGGCACAGAAGTCCACAAACACCTCACTACAAATGTGAAGCTGGCATGCAAGAGATCATTTGTGCATTACTCCTAAAATTACACTTATTTAAGCTGCAGACCTTTTAAACTCAGCTATTTGCATCTTAATAAAAGCAACACAGAAAATGGTCTAGAGTCTTTGACCGTTTTGTGCTTCGCATAGACTGTACAGTGAAAATGTTGGGAAAATGCAGACCAACATGTCTTATGACACCCAACCCCTGCATTTACTTTGCTGTAAATCTGTTAAAAAGAAAAACAGATAATGAGCTCGACATCCTGGAAAGCTTGTTTTTTCACATGGCAAACAGTGACGTATGAGGATACCATATTTACGTCTATTCCTAAGGTCTGCAGCAGCAGCAGTGCTGATCGGACATAGCAATACAGTACATGGAGATTCCTCTGAGAGAACAAAGTTCACAGTTTTTACGGCATCAGCAGACCTGCACCGGCAATGCTACATGCACTTTAACACAGGTCACTAACACCGATTTAGATTTGCAGAGAATCTCTGGTCCCCCTTCTGCCACATTTAGCATGCTGATCAAGACATACTAGAGACTGCCAAACTGACTGGGGAAAGGGGTTCTGTCTGTAGGTGCACCTTCATTACTTCTCTTAAAACTAATGATCTTGCACACCGTTTACTGTAAGTCGCAAAAAACAAATTTGCTCCCATGACTATCTGATCTCATGTTAAATTGCCCCTTCGGATTTTATTCTAACCTGCATTGTTTATTAGAGAATTAATGTCGGAAACTGGAACAGCTAAGGCACTGTTCTATGGACTCCTGAGTGTCTTCTCCAAAGGTTTTCTGATTTTCAACTGATTTTACAACGGAGGCACCTGTGAGAGAGCTGTGACAACAGTGCACTACTAAGGGCTGTGTTCTTTTTCTTCCTCTCATCTATCTTTATTAGCCTGAATATTCACCACCGCCACATCTTGGGTGTGGAACTTTGTTATCGCTTGGCTATTTTGACAAAGTGTTTATTATTACGTGTGGTTTGTACCCTTGTGCCATGACTAAGGAAATGGCTTCTCTGGTTTCAGTAAACAGTGTACATGCTGAAACAGAGCAACCACAGATTTTAATAAATAAATAGGGCTTGTGCAACAAAGGGGGCTACTGTAACTGTTGCATAGAAGGAAAAGGAAAGATGAATAGTTTTTCTTACACTTACATAATGGCCATATTGCACCGAGTGACATGTAGCACATAAGTCGACCACTTAACAGAATGCAAGAAGTGATGGGTTCTGACTGTGCAATAGCAAACTTTAAAACGTGCACTTTTGAATTTATGTTAATAACAGCTGCAAGCTTCAAAGGTCAACACTCAGGATTAACCGCATTATCTGTAATAGCATCCACTTTGCACTGAAAGATTACGTACATATATCTTCGACCTGACAGCGGAATCTGGCTTAGACAACATATACAGGCATGCAAGTTTTGACCAGCCTCACTTTGACGTAGGTTTCATCAGTAACTCGTAGATTACTGTAGATTAACCATCATATCTCTAGTGCTATCTCCCTGCAATGGAAACTCAAATGCAAGAGACTGTAAAACACTATAGGAGGGAACAGGACCTCGTAACATTGCTGAGGAGTGAGACAGAATGACTGAGACAGGTTTCGCCACACCTGCTTTTGATCATTTTTCCGATTTTCCAATCGTTAAAGGGGAAAAAAGAGCAAAGTAAAGCATGCCAGATTATAATCTCGGTCAATTTGGAATGTGTTTCTTAAAGCAAAGCATCGAAGAGGTATTACGTTTAACCCTTCACCCTCAATCGTTTTCTGATTACTTTGCTCTTTGTGCCAAATTGGCATGTTCGGATGAAATTTACAACCTCCGATTGCTTCTCTGAAACATTTTATGCTAATAAAAACTGTGGGATCTCTCTCCAGATCAAAGATAAACAACATGGCTACAAATTCAGTTGAAGCCAGACAATTAGCAGTCATACAATCCACAGGCCATTTAGTAGAGTAAATAAACTGCTGAGATGCTGCCCTACTTTAACTCCTGCGGACAGTGACTTAATGTGACAGATGGTCAGCTAAGATGCAAATATTGAAAAGGTATGATGAGGTAGATGTGAAAATTCAAACAAAATAAAAAATGCAATGAACGCACACAAAAGGGAAATGTGAGAGACCTACAGTTTTGTGTCACTGTGTTTGAAGAGGAAAAGTGACACTTTACTCAGCTGAACAGCTGAGTTATTGTTTCTTTAAAGTCTCCAGAGACTCTGTCAGTCATTTTTGACTGGCCTTACCTTCATCAGTCATTTGAAAAAACTGTTTACAATAGCAGTATAAACATATCTGGATTTCCTTGTTGACAGAAGTCTCAGTGCTTCAAGTTTAAAGGACAGTTGTTATACTCGTTACAGTCATTATGTCTTTGCTGCAATTCCCGTTGGGGTCCACTGCTCTGTCCACAACTGGGGTCCCTGCTCCTTTCCCCAGAAACCCTTCAGTGGGGTCACTCTCTTCTGAGTTACCTTTACTCCTCCCCTGCTGCTCACTCTGCCAGCTGTGCCTGCTATAGATGTATCCATTCACAGGTCCAGGGTTGGTGAGGCGGTTCCTATTCATACACAGGATTTCCTTGAATGCATACCAGAATTCAGGGCTCCGACAGTAAATAAGTGGGTTGAAGGCAGAGTTTGCGTAACCTATCCAGTTAAGTACCATAAAGGTGATCGGGCTGTTCACAGCCCATATAGCCTCCACCACGTTTAGCACAAAGAAGGGCAGCCAGCACAGAGTAAAGGTCCCCATGATGATGCCCAGAGTCTTCAGAGCTTTGTGTTCCCGAAGGCAAAACTTTGCCTTTTTAAGGCCACGGCCATTATTGGCCTCCAGAGAATTACTGTTGCTGATGTCGCTATTATGAAAACGTCCAACGCTTTTGTCTATCTTTTTCAGTTGGCGCCTTGCCTCCTGGAAAACTCGACTGTAGACAAAAATCATGATGACCAAAGGGATGTAGAAGGAGATGATAGAGGAAGTGATGGCATAAGCCTGGTTGGTGTGGAATTCGCAGCAGTTGGTTTGGTTCGTACAGTTTCTAGCTTCCATAGTATCAGCGGTCCACCACTTCATGTGGATGGGCAGGTAAGATATCAGAGCAGCAATCACCCAGACCAGCACCACCACAATGCGAGCTTTGCATTTGGTCAACATCGACTGGTAGTGGAAGGGAGAAGTAATGGCCAAATAACGGTCTATGGCGATGACACACAGGGTCTCAATGCTTGCAGTCACACAGAGCACATCAGTGGCAGTCCAGAAGTCACACCAGAAATTACCAAAGTACCACGTACTGGAGATAATTTTACAGGCACCGAAAGGAATCACAATCAGACCCATGACCAGGTCGGCACAGGCAAGCGATGTGATGAAATAGTTGGTGACATTCTGGAGACGCTGAAAGCGGGCAATTGCCGTTATGACCAGGATGTTGCCAAAGACAATAATCAAAACTAATAAGGACATGACCATGCCCAGCAGGATCATTACAGGGGCACTGAAACCTTCATCAGTCCCAGTTGAATTTGATGACGAGTTCATCGCAGTCATATTGGTGTACTCTGAGGTGGTTGTATTTCCCATCTGAAGAGAACACACATGAACAAAACACATACACACACACACACACACACACAAACAAAAGGAGTGAATTTTACAAATTCCGTTAGTTTGTTTTTTTAATTCTGCCTAATTACAACAAAAGAAAATGAAAAAAAATGCATGCACATAAATCTAGCACTAACAAAAAAGAAAAAGGAGACCAAAGCTTACTGCGCAAAAACCACATACATAAACAGTATATCAAGTTGGCTTCAGGCAAGCTTTAAAACATGCTAAACAAGCCAGACAAAAGCAGAAGTACAAACCTCCACAGGTTGCAGTCGTGTTTCCTGGCTCCCATACAAAGTAAAATGTCACTGTTCAGATAGTTCCCACAAAGCAGCGAGTATCACATGTCCCAGCTACTTTCTGCTTTACTTGATCTGCGTGTGTCTCACTCAGTCCCTCAGCTGAGCAGTGTTTCTTCTAATGTGTCTCCCAGGCTATTTGTCAGAGCCCTTATAGCATGCAGTGATGACATCATGGTCAGTGCTGAGCCAATCAGACAGCCAGCCTGTGGAGGGTGCTGAGAGCTCTCAAGAGTTTGAACACGCTGTCCCTACAGCGGTGTTTGCAGGGCTGCATGAGACAAAAATTGAAAACAAAGTAAAGGACTCCTAAGATTGATCTTTTTTTTTATGGTGTATAATTAGTTTTAGAAGGTTTACATTGTGTTTAAAATTAGACTCTACTTAAAGTTAGGCAGTGCAAAACTATTTGGAAGTGGGGGAAGGGGGTAATAGGTAATAGCTGCTTTACAGATCTTACTCATTGCTCATATTTCATATTGAAAACAGGCTCAGCTTTCTGCTTTACCTTTTTTTGTTTTAATGTCAAAATAATGTTTTAAAACTGTATATTTTTTTCTGACATATTTTACTTAAATACTGCCTGCATACTTAAATGTATATTACAGCCCGTTTAGCTTTCGTAACCACAGAATAAACACACTTCGATTTACATAATGGTACAAGTACAGATGTCTAAAAGTCAAACTACGGAAGAGTCCCTCATAATTTTAGTCTAGGACTGAACCACTAGTGTGGCCAGTTTGACAGGGACAAGCTGGCACGCTATGTCTTATCAAGATACAAAAATGTTTTCAGGATTCAGGACAAATTTGCATTTATATACTGAGCAGCTCTGTGCAAATCATAAAAAACAGGCAGGTTTGTTTGGTTTTATATTTGTTTATGTGTTTGTTTTCTATGAACAGCAACTTTACTTCTTATTTTAATAATTTCCAAAACATTCCCATGTTCTGATCAAGTTGATCACACATTTGAGTTAATTAGCGGCCACAAGAATTTGTTTGCATGTTTTTGTACATTTACATTATATTACACAAGTTAAAAGGCAAACAGTGTAATCTTCTGAGCTAGATAGCAGTGTCTATGTAAAAGACACTCGAATATACTAATATAGGTTAGTCTGTTTTTCATCTACAACAATTTGCATTTGGTTCTTTTGTTGGACGTCCCCTTCGTTCTACATGCATACTTGTAGAAAAAGCCTAACATAGAGGGAAACACACCTTCCTGCCCTTTCATGTATATATATGGAAAGCCTGAGGCAGGGAAAGCAGCAAACACGATAACAGGGATTAGACTGTAAACACAGACTTCACTTGCTTGTTTCAGCTAACATAGGAAGACTCTGAGTGTGCTAGCAGGTGTAACAGATGTAAAAATGAACAAAAAAACAAAGCATAACAAAAAAGAAAGTGGCAGTTTTCAAGTGGTTGAGCCATACGAATGGAATTGTCTTCAACCTACACTGGTTAGTCTCCACACTGAGGCAGCTGACAGTCGAAGTGAATGACACTCATCATTAAAATGCAATTGTGCTAGGGCCTGGCATTTATGTTAATTTGACGCGTGTTACCAAAGGTTACCACTACATTTGTCACGGTCTGGCTGGCAGACCGTGGGGATATGGGAGAATGAGGACCCAAAACACATTGTTCTGCGATGCAAACAGTGCACTTTATTTACAGTGAAGGTAACAGATGCACAATAAATCCCCTTTGCTCCCTAAACGCCCATGCGTGTGTTCCCCTCCGACGTCCGCGCTCGTGCTCCCGGCAGTTGTGTTTCTGCACACCCTGTGCGTGCTGCCCTTCTGGTCCCTCGTTCCACCTGCAGGACAATAACAGAAGCAGCCGTTAAACACTGAACCCGCGTGCGCACACGATCCACACTTCCTAATACTACACACTGACTTGGAGTCTTAGCTTAATGATCCCACGCCGGTGGGAGCTCCAACACTCTCCTAAGTAGCTCCCCCGATGAACCCTGATCACCAACAGGTGTGTGGCAGGAACTTCAGGTGTGGCCAGTTCTCCTGCAGGGCCACACCCATCAGGCCTGCATGTGGCTGTCCTCCAGCCACACATGTACACACCCACACCCTGCCCACACATACAAGTGGAACACAGAAGCATAGTGCAGAAAAACACACATCCCCAAATAATAATAACAACAACAATCATAATAATAATAATAATCCCTACTGCTCACGGACCCCCGAGACCTCCCGAGCCGGGTCCATGACAACATTACAACACCACTTGTCAAAATCAGTGACCACTAGCATGACAGCATCCACGCCACACTGCAAAAACTGCTTAGGAACACGTGCAGCTTAAGAACCTTCTCTGAGAGCCCCACGCAATGACCCAGGCTCAACAGTGGACTTCTTGTTTACATTTTGTGGCAGATAATTAAAATAGCTAACAAAGAGAATCAGTTCACCAATAGTGACAAATTGCAAACTCGAGTGTAGACTGCAATAGCACGTGATAGCACTGATGTTTTAGATAGTGGCTGAATTTGGTCAACGTCCAGTCTGAGCGCTTTCCAAATGGCTTCTGCTGCTTCTGCTTCAGCTTGCTGATGCTGCGAATCCTGGTGATGGTGATCGACACAGAAAGCATTAGAGTAAATGAAGTGTGACAATTGACAGCCCGTTCGTACTCATGAGACCGAGAGGAAGTAGTAATGGTAGAGATGGTAAAACGGCTTAAATACCACATCACATATGAGCTTTGCCAATGGCATTCTCAAGTCTAACCACCGGGAGATCAGTGATGAGTGAAGTGATTTTGGTGACAGTACTGTGGAATGGAGTTATGTGTGGAACACACTGTTAGCCAGGCTCAGATGACTGTACATTTTGATGAAAATTAGGCTGCTCCATTATCAGCATCACAGCAGTGGAAATGAGCGATAGCTTGTGCTTTTGTCATTTCTGAGCTACTGGTCCAACATTTCAAATCCCAGGTCGAGGTAAGTGTGTCTCAGTTCTCTGTGGGTGCTTTCAAGTGTGTACAGGTCCACGCTAAGCTTACAAAGGGAAGTGATGATAGTTTCCAGAGCTCTGATCTTCAAAGAATGCAGACGCCAAAAGCACTGTACTTCCTCTGTGCACTTCCAAGGGAGCTTTGACAAATGCCTATATGACTGATGACGCAAGAGCAAATCCAACCGCTCAATCCATATGCGCAAATCCAATTTTCAGCATTTACACAGACATCTCAGTACTTATTTATACAAATATGATTTTCTATGTCCCACTTTTTAAACAAAAACAGTTCAGAGACATGCTGCATACTGCTTGTAACCATGGTGCCTTCTAACTAATTTGAAGCTTTGTTGCTCCAGTTCCAGGCAAAATGTCAGTAACTAGCTACCCGGTGAATTACCCTAAAATGGTAAATGGCCTGCATTTGTATAGTGCTTTACTCAGTCCCTAAGGACCACAAAGCTGACCCTAAAATGTTCCATAGGCACTCATAGGAAGACTTAAATTGATTTGGTGACCTTGTGTCTTGTTACATATGTTGTTTATATGACATCTTCACTTGGCAGATTTCCATGAAAACCAGTAGTCATATTCCCAAAATCCATTTAGATGTTTTAATGACCTTTTGATCTATTTCCCTTTACTACTTGTGAGGATGAAACTTCCACATGTGCCCCAAAAAGAGGAAAAATGTAAACATGCATTGCTCTGAAATCAAAAGTCCACTCCTTGGGTTTTCCTACTGCATCAGCAGGTAAAAATAGTGCCATGAAACCCCCCAGCTCATTTTACTTATTTGATTTTAGTAACCCCCATAGTCTTATCTCTTGCACAACATGCATGACAAACTCACCATGCTTAGCCTCCAAAGATAAGTCAGTATATTATCAGCACCTTCCAACAGTTAGATTGTAAGTTATAATGTACAGCATAGACATCAAATGCTTTTTTCTCCTACATGTATTACTTTGAAGAGTTTTTCTATTTTGCTTTTAATGCATGCAGAAAACAGATTTTTAAATAATATCAAGAAAGCTTTTTATTGGATGATCAGCTTTAGCGTTGTCTGTGAATGCTGGATTTAGACCTTGAGCTTGTTTGTAATTGTTTCTTGGCCTATGTGGACAACTAAGTGAAACACAGTGCATATTGAACTTCACATTGATTTAGTTTAAGTATGCAGTACAATAACCTACACTAATTGTAAATGAAATTTCTGTTCTGTGTTCTGTTTTGGAAAGCTTGTTCCAGTGTTGGAATAATCACAACTGGTTTCCTCATCTGTGACATCTGTTTTCCTGTATCCTGTCACTCCCAGGCAAAACCGGTTCACATTTGGACAACCCTTCAACTATATTGGGTCCTGTCTGCACTTAGATGTTGTGCACTGCTCTATTTAGTCAAACACTGTCACATTAAAAGTGTCTTATCTCTTTACCATCTCCTCAACAATTCTTACTTCTCTTTATAGAAGTTGTGGTCCTGACCTGATGGCGCAACCATACATGGAGCTATAATTAATTTAGGGAAAGGTTTCTGGAAAAAACTAGGAAATGAGAGGACCTATATTCTCATTATACATTGTACATCATACGTTCTATACATGGCAACGTTAAAACAGACTAAATACTAAACAGACCACAATTGCTTTTAATTTATTTTAACTGAAAATGAAGTGAAAATGTGAAAATAATGTGTTTTTACAGTGTTAGTAAGTAATAATAGCACACTGTAACAAAAAATGGGTGTTACAAAAAAACCCACATCTAGTAAGTAAAGGCATCCAAATTTGTATTTACTCAAGTACAATTAGTATTGTACTTGAGTAAATACACCCTTCACTCATCAGTCGTGTCTAATCTATTCAATGTTTCTCTCAGTCAAGGAATCATTGGCCAGTCAATCGTATCCTTAATCACTGAAACAAAGAATTTCCACTTGGGATTAATTTTAAGCATGGAACACTAATTGTTTCTCTGCTAAAGGACCCTAGGGATCCGCGGGTGAGTTCCACCCAACAACAAATGTGTGTATGAGCATCAAAGACCTAAACCTCCATGCAGTGTGCACCACCATGCAAATATAGTGCCAGTTCTTCTTGGTAATGGAGA